ATATAAGAATCTGTCGCGTCAACCTATATTAAATATTGCAAAAAAATATTTCGTAAATATCTGATTTAAATGTAAAATATATATTTTTAAATAATATTTCTTAAATATCTGATCTAAATGTCAAAGAAATATTGTTATAATATTCAAGAATCTGTCGCTTAAACCTATATTAAATATTGCAAAAAATATTACTGTAATGTTTGTGTGCTATCTGGATTAGTGCGGAAATTGAGAGTTTTGAAGAAAATATTTAACGAGCGTTTTTTTGTACTCAAATAAGGTCCCTACCGGCAGGTAAATGGCAGTTTAAATTTAAAAACCCCATTAACAAACGAGTCTTTTTCAGTTACACGCAAATGAAGCAACTTGATAAATACCAAAGCGCAAAAAAATCATTAATTACTTAGGAAAAACCAGCTGAGCGATTAGAACAAAAAAAACGAGCATTCATAAATCAACAAGAAAAATTAACAATAGTTAACTAATAACGGCACTTTTCCAAATATTCATTGTCTAATAAATTTCTGTAGAAAGGCAGGTTCGAAATACCGAACATTTCTTATTCCAAAGACATTAATCTTTGTGTCCTGTTGAATAAAGGGACGATTTTCAGGTGAAAAGCATCGATGTTGACACGGCCTTGGCGACATTCTGCTGAAATTGCCTTCGCCCTTCAATCGATTTGCGAATAAAAGGGCCAATGTTAGCAGGTAATTTATATCCATATGTGCAATGTTACTTTCAACCCTCTTTAGCGTATATTATTACCTAAATCGAATAGTAAGGCGTATATATTTTCCGCATTATTAAGCAAATGTTCATATTTTTAGGACCTGGTAAAACCGGGTGCAAACTTTCCTACTTGTGCAAATGACAAAAGTTAATCTTACTTATCAAAAATTAAATGGAAAGATTACGGTAATTTTCAGAGATAATATTTTTCGAATTTTTATCAAAAAACGTATGGAGTAAAAAAATAATAAAGATATATTTAGGCGCGGGTTTGAAATGCTCCCTTTCTTCACGTGAACGTAATACGAAATTTTGGGAAATTATTACGAAATAAATCGAACACCAAATTAAAAATGTTTGCAACACAAATCCAACAAAAAACGAAGACTAGAAACGCAAAAGTGGCTAGAAAACAATTCTGTTCATTCTAGCGTTCATCCGAGTTTCATTTTTTTTATGTAAAGGCAGGAAGCGCTGAAAGCAACAAAAAAGTCCCCTTGAATTATTTTTAACTCCAAATCAAAATCAATTCCTGGGCTTCAGTCATTTATTGTCTATTTATCAGTTAAAATACGTTTCGGTGTTTGCCACCATCATCAGTTTCTATTTTTACTACTAGCGTTGTTGCTACTTTAAGCCTTGGCATATATTTTGAAGAAAATAAAGAAGAAACACAGTCAGGAAACTATGTACAATTATTTTTAACTGAATCGTTTTTCTAACTAATTTTATTTAATAGAAATATAGATAGCAAAACCGGCTAATACTCAGATAAAACGCAAGTTGATATTAACTGGCTCATCGCGATAAAAAGCTACATTTTATCAAATGCTATTGTTTGCAAAGCATAATTTAACGTCCCAAATAACGCGGATTAACGTCAAGCAAGCAAATAAAATATCCCGACTACCACGCATTGATAAATGCTTAATAAACTAGCTGATCGCTCTTGTTCTATTCCTTAGATTCTATATTCCTTCGCCACTTACCACTTAGCTAAAGTAGAAAAATCTGCTAACACACGCAGAACAATCCAAAGGGGAACGCGATGGTTTGCCCATCCAGATCGACTGCTGTCGATGCCGACACCTGTCCTAAGTGTCCCGAATTGCCTTCTAGGCGAATCTTATTTGCATTTCGCCCAGTTCGGTTTGCTCTTGCCATAGCCGATATTTATAGCGAAATAATGTTGCATGCCCCGCATACAGTTGGTTGGTGCCTGCAAAGTTAACAAAACTACAATTACAGATCTAAACGATAATGAAACTTTCGTCACGTAAACCCGACTTTGGCAAAATTGAACTTACTACAAAAAAGTGACCATCTAGGCAGAGAACAAACCAGAAAGAAACTGTTAATGTTCAATCTAGATCTAAAAACACCTAATTAATCCATCGATCGTTCTGCCTCGTAATCTCTTTAATACAGCAACATATCGATCTCCAGCTCTTCAGCACATCCAGGATTATCTTAGAATTATTCAACGGGAATCGCGTGTCTCCCACTTGTTTCCGTGACACTCATTGGCCCGAACATCCATTTAAAATGCCAGAGCCGAACTACACTTTGAAGATATTCGGGGAAATGGCAACGTTAACACACTACACAAGCTAAATGAAAAACGCCAATTTCCTAAACAAATTTATTAAAAATATCACAAATCCAATACCTAAAATACGCTCAAACTTAATGGCCAGCGTGGATGGTCCTCGTCTGGGCCCTGTCGGCTGCTTTGGTCTTTTCAACAGTCCCCAGCGACTGTCCAAGCCAGATTTTTTGGCCCGGTGCCACATTAAACTTGAAATTAACCGGCCCTTCGAATATTATCACGATGGTAGATCCCATGCGAAACTCGCCGACCAGATCGCCTTTGTGCAAATCTACGGAACTTCCCAAGCAGATCTCCTTGAACTTGTGGGTCTTCTTTTTCTGATTGGTTTGTAAAGTTTTATCGAAAAATACCCGAATTGAACCCACATTGGTAGCTCCTGTAATAAATTACCTCGTTTCAACTGTGAATAGCAAACCTTTCAAACTATAAGTAACACCTTCAAAATTAGATGAAATAGTGCGAAATAATCCTACACTAACTAATGCGTTTTTCGGGTTTTTAGACCGTCCTGACGTTTCGCAAGCACGAGTGGCTTGCATCTTCAGAAGTGGTTTGCTTGAACGCTTACACTGTTCCGATGCGATTCCTCGGGCGCAGTCTGTATTTATGCACCGGTGCATAAATACGGACGGCGGTGCATAAATACGGACTTCTGAAGATGCAAGCCACTCGTGCTTGCGAAACGTCAGGACGGTCTAAAAATCCGAAAAACGCATTGGCTTCAAGGAACGACCTCGAAAGTCTATCCCTTTTGATAATCCTACGCTAGTGTTCAGACAATTCAGCAAAATAGTTGGACATGAAAATTTCACTTACCTACAGCACTGTAGGAAAAGAATCCATGCTCCCACTCGCCCAAATAAACCGCTCTTTCATTGAGCACAAATAATCCAGGCAGCCATTGAGCGATCCGTGGATTGACCGAGAGCAGTTCGCCGGAAAAGTGTCTTCGATGCGTCGGCTTCCATTCGGCTGGCGAATGGAATCTAGAAACATTCAGCTGGTTAATAATGATTCTTCGGGAGCTCGCAGGAGTCGAAGAAGAATAAACCTATTGTTTTGGCCTAAGCAGGGGAGATTTTCTCGAGGTTGACACCTGTTTTCCAACAGACGAAGGGCGCTTCGTAAGGTAAAAGCAATGCAACCTGGGCAGAAGCAATTTTTGGCTCAGGTCATCTGAAATCGGCAAATGTTACCTAGACGGTCTGGAGAAGACCAAAGCAAGCCAATAGAAAATTATCGGAACAGACTTGCTTTAGGATTAGGAGACGCGTATCAGAAAATATCGCCAACAGCCGAAAGTACATAACTGGACCCTCAAACCATTATCGTTATTTAAAAACGAATTTCCTTCTCATTTACGGACTCAATTATTAGTAAGTAATAATTACCTATGATAGTCCCCAGGGGCCAAATAAATCACACATTGATACAATGTATTTCCCTCATGAGGTCGATGCAGCAAATGTTCATGGCTCTGTTTCGAAACCTTTTGGCTAATACTATTGCTTACTTTTTCCCCTAAGAAGTCTTGGACGTAGTACGTAACGCCCTTTACCTAAAATTACAGCTAATAAATTATGTGGTTTCAATTTGATTCACATTCTTACTTGTTCAATGCGCCCGTTATTCACAGTTCCCACACTTAATACTGTTCCATCGCACGGTGATACCAGGGAACTTTTGTAATCAATTGCTCGCACTCCTTCCTTCAACGATCTGGTAAAAAACTCGGTTAAACTAGAATAGTGTTTCAGATCTTCATATTGAGCCTCGGCGAGATTTACACCGAATGTCTTCGAATAGGCTCCGTAGACTATTGGTCTCGCAAACTCCGGTAGTTTTTGGTCTGCAAATATAAAAAAACACATCTTTAACCTTTCTCTGAATATTTACAACTATTTTTGATTGTATCTTCAACTCGAATGGACACTGTTAACAGAACAGACACGTAGTCTGGTGCTCTGTAAAGGAGGTCAAAACGCATTTACGTCAATGTGAACACTTTCTTAGCAATTAGGGCTGCTATTGAGATCGTCATACGCACATAGTAAATGGTGCAAAAATTTATGATTTTATTGACAAAAAAAATACCAGATATCGGTAACAAAATGTGACGTCGAAGCTAATCGAAGGACTTCTAAAATGTACGCGTTTAGTGAAATTACGTGCGCAATTACACATACATATAAGCAAAAACAAATTTTACATTAAATGAATACAGTCTGAATCTATTTGCTTACCAGCTAAATAGCCCCAGCATCTGCTCATAGTCCTCAGTGGTAAGAAGCAGTAGCAATTAATCTCCCACTGTTTCGCCGCAGTGCCCCCTTTTCCTTTTTGCCGGTAAGCACGCCACTGCATTACCGCTATAAGGCATACGCCCAATGGTACAAATCTTTTCAACATTCCTTCCCATTCTGTCCAACCTGAGTTAAAAAATCAATTAGTTTTTATTCCACGATTCTTAACACTAAACACGGAGCAGTACAGAATTGTAATAGGCTGATTTTTTTTTTAGTAAAATGGCCAGATCTTACCATATGCACCGAATGGGTCACATAGAAATATTACAACTAAAACCTCACGCAACAAAAAATCTCATATTCACTACACTTGAATCGATTGCCAGACCTTTTATTAGCAGAATGTACTCTATGTAGAAGAAGTCCTCTCCAGATAGGTCTTGTTTCGCTGCATCCATACCGGACGTGGCACATTGAACTGTTAAAAAGATTCTTTTGTTGCGTTTCGGCGACTTTTATATACGTGCAACGTTATCAAGTTCATGACCCGCTAACGTTATCAGCCTCTAGTGGGAGAGCACATTATTTCCCAGTCAATTAAAGTGATAACAGCCTATTACCCATCGTATTTTGCCAGTTAATTAGAGGTCACATTTTGGCAAAATAATGCCACCAACAGCGTTTTTTCGTCCATTTCAGGCGAATTAATATAAACAGTTTACTCTGTGCTTTCTGCACTGTAAAGGCACCATTCGACTAGACTAGACTGTTACAGAAGAATCGTCCTATAACCGGAAATGCGTGCTTACCAGATGGTTTTTTCTTATCGTTCTGCGTAAATAGATTCCGGTTGAAAGCATAGGGGGTCGCAGAACACTTGACCTTAATGCACGATGATAAGAAATGCTCGTGCCTAAATGGCCTTGATATCCTGAAAAAGAAAATAACACTATCACTCTCAGTACATGACGTGAACGATGTTTTTCGCGTTAATTCCCACGAAGATGCTTGATAACAGTGATGTTACTGCGAAGGGTCACCAGTCAGTGTTAGCAGGCCGTAAACAAATAAGAACATTCAGATTTGTTCGCGATTATTGCCATTCTGAAATGGAAGATATTTTTATTTGACTTATTATGGGATGAAGAACATGCATATTGATATAATTGACCTGGTAATGAAGTAATATCTACATTGAGCCCAACTGTTCGTTATCTAATTGCCAGCGATTTTTTCTGTGAAGATTAGAGAAGCCAGCCACATGCAGCGTGGAGCAATTTTTAATATATTGTTTTAATTATAAAGCCTGGTATTTTTAAATGCCAAAATAATGAGGTTGCAACCTCATATTAATCACTCTAACTTGGCGGCCTCATTTAATTATCCAAGATAAAACATTATCTCCAGTTGGTCAAATTCGCACAATTCAATAATCCATCACAATGAACCAACAATTCTGTTTATTACATTCTTGTGCTATTTACCAATAGAATATTGCAATTTATAGTTCAATAATAAATAATACCGACGACATCCAATAATAATGGGTCATGGAAAGAGCGTGCGGTAAACAGAAATGCGGTGGAAATTGCACAAAAATTATGATTATGAGTACTTTGTATTCCGATGTAAAAACTATGAGCTTAGAAGCTCATAGCTTTCACTATTAGCTACAGGCTTAGCTATTAGAAGCGCCATTGTTCTACAGAATGATCCAAGCTGAGCTACGTTTCAGAATGCTCACCATTGTCAAGAATTTCATTGTATATACTTTCCTGAACTTTTTCTGAAAAAATTGCCAAGGTTTAAAGCAGCAGCAACAACGCTACACATAAAAACTGATGATGGTGGAATAAATGACTGAAACCCAGGAATGAATTTGATTCGGAATTGTCAAGAGTGGACAATTTTTCATAAATCGTTTGTTCGTCTGTTACTTCCTTATTGACTGGCGTGATCGTTATTCCACTTCATTTTATTGCCTTCACTTATCTTTGCCTAATTTTCTCTATGGGATCCTTCAGTGCTTTCTCTGGATCTTCTAATGTCTACTTTTGCGACCCCCTTGAGTACTGATTTGTGCTGTCCGGATGACATTTTATATATTTTTAAATTCAAAATACTTCTTTTACTTAATGTTGTAGTGAACGTGAGAATACACCGGTCCTGCCCTTAACTATTTATATCCTCGCATGTTGATCGCTGATATCTTTAAATGCTTGCGTTTTTTTTTCTTTCGAGAACACAGCTGTTCCAGCTGCTTATATAGCAACTTCGCCTTGGAACAGCTTGGAATAAGACTTTTTTGATGCACAATCAGGGGTTTAAGTGGTTTAAAAGTCGTCGACAAAATGATCCTCCCTACATTTGTAATACACGTAGAAATGAACATTAAAACCAAATTGGTGCTGGATAAGAACTTCAGCATGCGTTACGTCTGGTGTCTTAATTACAGTACTGAAAACAGCTAACGAACGAACTACTCACGGTCTAATCCGGTGTAAAACAATCATTTCCAGGCACTTTTAACAAAAAAACCTCATAAAAAATTTATTTAAAACTACAGGTCACATAACCTTATTTGAAACTGTGCAGAAACACGCAGTGGCTACTAGTCTCTCGATGTATCTTTAAGGATACACAAGAGCAATGAGACATTATATTGAATTTTATTTTTATTAAAATAAAATTAAGGCAGAAAAGCAATAATAACAATCGCATTTGATTAACTGAAATTCTCTTGATTTTTTAAGGCTTTTTTACTGGGATTGTATAAATTAAAAATTAAGACAATTAGTGAATGTATGTTGTATGAGAAAGTGCACCGAGCCATTTCACATTTTTGACAGCAACAACTGTCTCATAACCCCAAAGTTTTCAAATGTTTACGAAAAATAATAGTTAAGTTAAACATTAGTAAAGTTCCATTTAATTATTTGTTAACTTCTCACACACTTAAGAGTATGGATTTTACAAGAAAACCAAGTACACGCCCATCTTTGAAGAATGCCGGTAATTTATTCAATTCAATCATTGCTTCTATATTTTTCACAAAATGTTTTCTATGTCAATTAAATAATTTTAAATTTCAGAGGCAAAAACTTCCCCCCGTGAATTGAAGTATGATAATAAATCTAATGGCAAACGATGGGACCATGGATTTTCTACCAGGAGTAAGTTAAATGTTACTAGACCTTCAAGCGCTGAGTTTTGCGCTTGATTTCCTTAGAAGCAAAATACAGTTGAGTCCGGATATAACGAACTTGAAAAACGTACTAAAACTAGTTTGTTATATCCGGAGTTCGCTATAAGTGAATAATAATATAAAAACACGTGGTGTATTTTATTTCGTTATTTTTACATAGAGTAGTAGATGTTAGTAGGTATGACTAAACAGAACACAAAAAGATAAACAAAATTCAATTTGAAATCGACTTCATAAAGTCTGTAATTTAATTTAATGTAACGCGGCAAAAAACAAGTCACTGCCTGTCTCTCGCTCTCACTAATATAAACAACTCTGCACGATTGGTGTTGCTGAGCGTGGAAGTTCGTTATAAACGGAAAGGGAATATACAACTAAGCTAAAAAGTGATCGTTATATCCGGAAGTTCGTTATACACGGACTTTACTGTACTCTGAATCGCCTGTGGCAATTTCAACTAGGCCTTTTATACAGAAGTATTTTAACTACATTCCTGCATTTGAGTTTTAGTTCTCTTAATATTCTCAGCTGCTTTCTCCAATGTTCACTGTCTACACTACATACAAATATCTAACTAGCTTCGAACACTTCAAAATTGATATATATTTTTAAGCATCATCCAGTGGCTTTGGGTCGTCTGAAAGTTACCACATCGAAGGCTCATCATCGAAAAGAAATCTGCCAACTTCCACTCCTTCTGGGGCACAAGAGAAAAAAATAAAACTTGACAAAGAGCCCCTTGATGTTGGCCCTTCAGCACAGCCGGACAATTTGGATGACCTGGAATTATCAGCAATTCTACAGCAAACTGTTGCAAAGCGACGCAGCAGCGGTTTAACTAAATCGGAATTCGATGCGTTCGCTTTCTTCCTGAATAAAGGATCGAATAACCCGGAAAATAACATGGCCGATACTGGGGAAGACATCTTTTCCCAGTCCTTTAACACCCAAGTGATTAACCAAATAAATGTGGCGATCGACGATGAGGAAAGCAGAAGTTTAATCGAATCTGACGATGATAACATTACTACCAGACGAAAAGCCGCAAATCCCAGTAAAAATATATTTAAACATCCCATTGCAAAACCTTTACCTCTTCAAGCTAAACCGCTTAAAGAAAATTCCGGTGATAGATCGATGCTCTTTACCAGTAAAGCTGCAACGAGTAAATTCATGAAAGAAGTCGACGATTTGTTTGAACAGGTCGAACAGTCAATATGCCTGATGGGAACAAGCGACGAATTAAGGGAAAATTTAATTCCTGATGAACTGTTGGACATTCTGTTTGCTGAAGATCAGTTGAATGCAAACCCGAACATCAACGAGAAGATTGAAGAGTTTAATAAGCCGGTTAACGAAGAAAGCTTTCTAGCGGAAGCCAATTGCAGTCTGGGGACCGTTATCAAGCAAGCCCTACTAAACAATGCCACCAAAATTAATCAACCAAAAAGCGAAATTAGTAACCTGGACTTGAGCCTAAATAGATCAGGAGTGGACGCGCCTGCCAAGTTCAAGCAATTAGGAGACTTCTATGGCCTCCCTGATCACGTTAAAGACTTAGTCAAACAGTATAAGGGAATTGATAAACTATATGGTGAGTTTTCCCGTCGAGGGCCCAAAATCCCTAATAATACCAACAAGTGTGCAATTTTTAGACTGGCAAGAAGAATGTCTGAATATGGCAATAGAAAGTAGATCAAATTTGATTTACGCGCTGCCGACCAGTGGAGGAAAAACCTTGGTGGCTGAGGTGTTAATGTTGCGCGAAATTTTATGCTACCAAAAGAACGTCATCTTCATTCTGCCCTATGTTGCCATCGTTCAAGAAAAAGTGTGGGATTTCTCGCCATTTGGGGTTGCATTGGACTTCTTAGTCGAGGAATATGCATCAAATAAAGGCGTTTACCCTCCACGGAAGCGGCGAAGAAAAAACTCTGTTTATATTGCCACAATAGAAAAAGGACTGGGCTTGCTAAACAGCTTGATAGAGACGGGAAGACTTAGTGAAATCGGCCTAATTGTTATCGATGAGCTTCATCTCATCGGCGAAGAAGGGCGGGGTGCTACTCTCGAAGCTTGTCTGAGCAAGATCATCTTTTTAGCTGGTAAGAATCGTAGCAAATAACAAGAAAAAACTTAATTCTGCCCTCCCAGAAAACATTCAAATCGTCGGAATGAGTGCGACTATTGGGAACATCGAGGATATTTCGAAATTCTTAAACGCGGAAGTCTACAGGAAAAACTTTCGCCCCGTGGAGCTGACCGAATACGTAAAATGTGAAAACCAAATAGCAAAAATCAATTGGGGCTGCAAGGACGAGAACGATTTGCTAATAGACGTGAAAAAACTGGATTTCAAGGTAGATAAAGACCGCTATTTCCGTTAAGAAACACACTTCTAGAGATTCTGGTAGTATTCAGAAGCTGTATCCAAATTGGATCCTGATATGTTAGGCGGATTGGTTCTGCAAGTCGTCCCTAAAGGGTCTTGCCTTGTGTTTTGCCCCTCAAGGACCAACTGCGAAAATGTCGTTCATTTGCTGTGCAAACTGACTAAACCGTAAGTTTATCTTCCGTCCAATTACATTATCAAAACGTTTTTTCTCAGGCATTTAAAGGATTATAAGAAGAATGAAAAGAACGAACTTCTTAAAGCGCTAGAGGAAGATTGTGGGGAACTTTGCCGCGTTCTCAGAACATCAGTGCCATTTGGAATTGCCTACCATCATTCTGGCAAGTTATTATCTGCGCACACATTTCACTTTGGATGCGCTCATCAAGGGGTTTTTTGCTGTTCAGGTCTAACAAGTGAAGAGCGGCGCTTAATCGAAGAAGCCTTTCGAGCTGGCACCATTTCCGTGATTTGTTGCACTTCTACTTTGGCAGCCGGCGTAAATTTACCAGCAAGAAGGGTGAGTTAATAAGATTAATCTGCGTAGGCTCAGAACGTGGGGGTTGGAAACAGTGGGGTTTTTTAGGTAATACTCAGATCACCATATACCGGCAAGGAGTTTATAAATTTGTCAAAATATAAACAAATGGCCGGCCGAGCAGGTCGAGCCGGACTAGGGGAAACTGGAGAAAGCATCATTGTAACGTCCAGTGCGGACTTGCCTAAAGTAAAGAAGTTATTAATGAGCCCCATGACTCAGGCGATGTCAGATTTGCCATCTTCCGAAGGAAAAGGCCTTAGGTGTTAATTAAGCTCTAACACTCCTAGATTTCAGTTCTACAAGGCAAGGTTTTTTGTAGTCAGTTGCTGCTCAGTTGCATAAGTTTAGGCATAGCGAATACGCGATTTCAATTGCAAAAGGTGTCGCGATCAACCCTGATGGCTGTGCAGGAGGATCGGTTGGATGTAAACATAAAAGCGTTGACTGATAGTGTGATTAAGAAGCTTTTTAAATTGGGGGCTCTACAAGAGGGCGACGACCAAGAAAAGTCCAGAAGTGTTGCATCGCAATGCAATGTATCTGTGAAGATGGATACTTCAGTAGTAATTTGAGCGTCTAGCTTGTGGTGTACACCGTTAGTAATAATTCGTTTTTTAGATGGATTTGGAATCTATAAGCCAAGCCAGCAGCAGCAATAAATCAAAAAGAACCCTAGTGCTAACGAGCAATGCAAAGCTAGTTGTTAGCAACTTAGGGAGGGCAGCCATCAAAGGTTTATAGAGCGCCAATGCCTGAGTAAATGTTCTCTATCTAATCTCTTTCAGCTGGCTTGCAATTAACTCGAGCCCACCAGTTGTACGATGACCTCCATCAAGCCCAAAAGAGTTTAGTCTTGCTCAATTGCCTTCATTTGCTTTACCTAGTTACGCCGTACGAAACAGCGAATCAAATAAGGCCCAACATACACGTATATTACGATGTGGTAAGTTTGATGTTTAAATTGATTTTTCTGCAATATTAAACGTGTTTTTAGCTAACGCACCTACACGAGAGAGAAATGCAGACTGCCCGGATACTGGGATTTGACGAAGCATGTATTACAAAAATGGCCACAGGCCAAACTGCAAAGGTACGTGACCTAAAGCCTGATGATAACGTCGAATCTATCCACCCCCTAACCGCTTTTCAGCAAGTTCCGGAAAAGGTTCTTAACAGATTTTACGTTACCCTAATGCTCAATGACCTTTGGAATGAAATGCCAGTCTTCCAGGTGTCCGATAAATATCAGGTAATTTTCAACAATATTATTAGACACTAGCGATAAAATAGTTTTATAGATAAACAGAGGGATTGTGCAAAATCTCATGACGGTTTCCGCCACATTTGCCACCAACGTGGTTAATTTCTGCGTGGAAATGGAAGAATTTTGGGCCTTCTCTCACCTATTAAAAGGACTAAGTCAGAGATTGTCTCATTGTTGCAATCGCGAACTAGTGCCACTCATGGAACTGCCTGCAGTCAAACAGGTACCATAATCAGGACTTTTCCTTTGCAAATGAGATAACGATGTATAATTTGGATAGAGTCGAGCCAAACAGCTGTACAATGCTGGCTACAAGAACCTGCAAAGCATTGCCAAGGCAAAAGTGCACGACTTGATTGAAAATATCGAGTTTATGTCGCGAAGAACTGCTGGACAGCTCATTGCGGCCTCTAAGGTAGTTTTGGGTGCACCGAAAATTCTTAGCCAGACATAACTAATTCCGTTGTTTTGCAGATGTTGTTACTGGAAAAGGTAGAGAATCTTCGCGAAGAAGCAGAAGACGTACTGGACGGCGTTGAAAACCCCAGAGATTTTCTTCATAGAACTCCAAAGTAAATAATGGATGGTTAATAGCAATAGAAAAATTGGTCTTATTCCTTTATATTGTTCACTGTTTTATCAGTATTAGGCAAAATTACAGAATTGAACATTGCGTTTATTATGCAATATTAACAACAAGGGATTTATTTACCTTTTCTTATAAAGGCATGGTTGTAAAGTTAATGATGGAAGCTTTGCTTTATTCCTGCTACTGCTCTCTTTTTTAAAGTCGATGAAATAGAATAAGTTATACGAGAGATCCATCCAAGTCTTCTTAAAGCCGTATTGTTCGCAATTTTTTATAAAAGCGTCCACATCTTCAAAGCGACTCTCTACCTCGGCTATTTTAAGCAAACCTCTAAAAAACAAAAATAATCAGTTTGCATTATTATGGCCTGTAAGAGAAGGCAGCTGTACCCTTTCTTCAGAACTCTATTGGCTTCTAATAAGTATTCCTTTAAGTTGGTGCCCATTAAGGACAGACAAAATACCGCTACATCTACAGAAGAATCATCTAAAGGTACATGTGCCATATCACAGGCAGTTACGAAATCATTGGCTGCGACCAGATCAAAAGAATGCACTTTATGCTCAACGGATTGCGCTAATCTTGCTTCACCGCATCCAAAATCTGCAATTACATTAGTTTTGTTCCTGGAATAATATCAGCATTACCACAGAAATTTCATTTTGACCACTACTCACATTTTAGTGAGGGATTTGATGATTTTATCCAGAGGATTCATCGGCCATCGTTTCAACTGCAGCTTGTAGCCTTCATGGTAGGCCTTAAAGGCTTCCGGATCGCTCCTAAATATTTTTTCCGTTTCCTTCCCAGTTGTGTTGTAAATCTGCTCGTTTAAAAATCTGAATCTTGCAGCTTTCAGTTTTCGCATCATGCGCTGCCTCAACGTCAAATTGGAATCTTCTACTTTTCGCGATTTTTGCGCTTTTTCCAATACAAGTTCCTTCAATTTTTCCAACTGTTTTTTGCGTTTTTTTAACAACTGTGGATGTATAAAGCTATTTTGAGGAGAGTCACTGGATCCAATGTCCTCGTGCAATAAAGGTTCTGTGATGGCACTTTTTATTTTTTTGCTTTTCTTCTTATGTTTCAATATTTTATTAGAGCTCTCAGCTTCAGTGTGTTTAGAGGCGCTCAATTGCTCTAATTCTTGGCTACTGGACTCGGGCACATTGACATGGTTTTTCGAACGTACTTTCCGTTTTCTCATTTTTTTATTTGAAATTTCTATAGAACTGTTCAATGCTACTTTATCATCGGCCAGATGATTCTGCTCGGTAATTTTCTTTTTTATTTCCTTGAGTAGCCTCTCCTTTCCATTTAGTAGATCTGCGTTGTTGAATAACGAGACGGATTTTAGGAGTTTTTTCTTAAGCTTTTTGTCCTTGTTTTTCGAACTGGACTTGCTCACTTTGCCATTGTTTTTGAATTTGCGCATAAAATTGCTGCCGTGGCCCTAAAAAGCATAAGAACGATCATTCTAACTAACTAGAACGACTGAACTGGAAAGGTTTATTCATAATATATTGGGATTGCTACACATTGATCACAAATATTTATAATAATGCACTTAAAAGCCGTTTGACGGAGTCCCCTGGCTGTCCAATTGGCTTATCTCGTGTGTGTTTCTGGTTTTCCATGTATTCCATGCGCTTCTGTTGGAAGGTATTTAGGGGATTCTCGAACTGTTTATAGAACCTTAAAACATCCCTAACATCCTCTATGTCTGTTTCGGCAATTGTTTTAAGGAACGCAGTTAGCTCTACTAGAGTATTGTCATCATCACCGCCCGCCCATCGCTCAAGGGCAAAGTGATTATCTGCATGGAACTTCACTGATTGCGAGTTCCAGTCGACTACAATGACTTTGGTCAAATCTCTGTTCAATTTTTCTAGATTCTTCACATGATGGCCATCGATGAAATGGGTGGAGTCGCGAACCAGCTTGTATGAGATGAGGCCCCTTTGATCTAATGCTTCTATAACCGGGAAAATGGTAATTCCGGGCTCTGCAGTGAAAACCACGATTTCATACAGTCCGGCTAAGTTTTCTAACATGTAGTCTACTCCCGGGCGCTTTTTAAATCGCCAACCTGTTTGGTAGGTCCACTCAGGGTGTGCCAGAACATCGGTGAACTCTAGAACTAACGTGTATGGGGGCTGATAGTAAGGATAAGTGAGTGGGTCGGGCAACAACTTGTCTCTGGAGGGTTGTTGGATAAAGAGTGCAAACTGCTTGATCTGCCGCAGGCCTCGTAAAACGTACTGCTGCCAGATGGGGGAATTTGAATACTCATCAGCAACCGTTTGGCCGTTTTCATCTTCAGGCGGTCTTCCCAACACCAGAATTACGTACGAACCCACGGCAGTTAGTGATAGACCCAAAAATAAAAATGTGTACTTCATGTTTCTGATTGCTGTGGCTCTATCGTCGCTACCCGAGTCTCCATCAGCGATATTGAAGATTTTTTCTTGGCACTGACTTTCAACATTAGTGGTGATAACCGGGGGCGACTTCGTCTCAGACAGGTTAAACGTCCGGGCGGCAAAGTTTGGAACTGGTATTCTTCTGTGGATAGTGGCAGTTTTTGCAAACTGCCTACGATACATTGAAAAGGGCCTAGCGAGTAACTTCCACGACATCCCGGTGACCGTATGGGGTTGCAATCTTAGACTTAATTGTGAAATTATGAACATGAATTTTATGCCATGAATGACAGGAGTTGGCAGTTTTCACATCAGATCTGCACGTTCACTTAGCAACAATCCCTCAATAAACAAGCCGATGGTTGGGCCCAGCAAAGGGAAGTCGCAGGGCTCACATATAAGAGTGATAGTAGGTGAATATGTACATACCTCGTTGAAATTTTGGCACAGTTTTTGAGCGGCACCGGTCACTTCCCAGTCCTTTGAGCCAGATATATTAAATAGAGCCATTATTATTCAGAACTAGATGTTTATAGACACGAACATCTACGGAAAGTTGAGCGTCACTAAGTGAGGTTAGACTGGATAAATTCCAAATATTGTGTTGAAGGGGTGTCGACGTTGCCAATGGTTATTCGCAAAGGTAGCGAGAGGTCCTGATGGATTTGCGATTACGTATTTAAACATAATTTATTTTATTTCTTAATTTCCTCTATGGACCTACTTCATTCACATATTATTAATTGAATTTATGGTATTTTAAGGAATATTTTATTTTATTTTATAGCATTTTTTGAAGTGATAACTTTTTATGGGAGGGTGAACCGATTTTTCTCGGTCACGGCGAGCCGTAAATGCACTTTTTTCTCTTTTTTTTCGACATTTTTCTCTTAGTGCGGGGGCATCTGTAGATCTGATAAACTTTTCAAATACACATTGCGTTATTAAACTGACAGTGATTTTGATTTCTCAATTATTGAGTGTGATATTATTGTGTTTGGTGCCGTTTATTCTGTAACGCTGATAACAATGAATCAACAAATTATCAAGGGAGAAGCTGCAGATACTGCAAATACTAGGTTAAGGGTGCTCATGTACCAAATGCCTATTCGAGTTTCGCCTTCTTTCAAATTTTCAATTAAAGTACGCTCACAATTATACACACTAAAGCAGTTTAAGTGCAAAAAAATGCGGATCGTCCATCAATTTGCACAAAATTGTATTACAAACTTTTGAAAATCATCTTCAAACGCCCGGGTATTTATCATTGCAAATGAGATTGCACATTACCGTGCACTGTTAAATATTGTTTTAAGAACTTACAATCGATGTTGTGCAACAAAATTGTGCCTAAGATCCACTACAATAAAGTTTTTGAAAAACTGTTGGACCTATTTTAAATCGCATCATTGATTGTGGACGCAAATTCGTATCAAGAAAAGATTAAATTAAATTAAATCGTATCGATAGAATCCCGGTACCCATGTCCATTTTATGAAAAACGCTCAAGATTAAGTGCAAATAAAGTGTCACAACTATTATTAATAACTTTATACAACAACAATAACAAGATTAATAATAATTGAATTAAAGAAACGTATGTAAATGGTGTTTCTAATTGAAGATTTTTAAATGTAACATTTTTTAACATTTTTTTTCTTTTTGATCCTCCCGACTCACTCTGTGTGATTCGAGATCAGCTAAGTTATTCAGAGATTTTCTGCTTTTACTCAACTATTGTCCTTCATGAATAAGAAGATATATTGACCTAATCAGTGGCGATATAATTAAGCCGAGTCCATGACAAGTACATTGCATACTGCCCCTGATATATTATGGAGACATTCAATTCGACTCAACTGTTTTCCAACGTCAACCCTCAAAGCAGAAAATTACTTTCATTATTAATGACTTCTCCCAATATTCGGTCATTACTGATGAGGACCGCATCTCTTGCGCTCCTACACCTCTACACGCTCGTGGCTCGTTAGCGAAATGAGTAAGCATTATTTTATTTTTTCGGAAAATACCCCTTTAACTCAATATGGATACTTCTTACTGGTTAGTCATGTGGTGGCATTATTGTTGGAATCATGCTAGAATCGTTAAAGGGTTGAATTAATAATGTTGAACCCCCAATAAATCTTCTAAACTCACAAGTTCCGTAAGTAAGTTGTACAGAAAATTATATTAATTCGAGCGTGAGAGGATCCAAATGTTTTGAAAAAGGTTGTTTGATCGCGAAGTCATATTAGTACGTCCCTCGTATGATCGTTGGGCTAAACAAGGACAAACTGGCTTCCATGGCAACCGCTATACTGATTGCACTCCTTCACACAAACGGTTTAAAATGCTACTCTGCCAGTATGAAGCGCGTGTGCTACGAGGGCTGATTGATAATTTGATGTGTCCTTGGTCAGCCTTTTAAGAGGCAAACGATATAAAACTTAAAGGAACTGATTCTCACTCACATAAACAAAATCTATGTGCGAAATTAAAGCACATTTCGCAAAGTCAAGAACCGTGGCTTCAATTAGAAAACTGAAGGCCAATATTAAAAAAAAAAAATGTAAAAGTACAGCCACGGTCATTTCGCGCTCCAGATCAATAAATTTCACCCCACTTGATTTATAATCCCTCAACTACGAAATAAATTTGAAATATATGGGGTGCGAATTACGGCACATACATCCTGAAGGGATAAAAATCAGAAGCTGCTCGCCGACGGAACATGACCGAGTGCCCGTACAGTGGGATGATATCAAATGTCGTCGTACACGAAAAACCACTAAAGCAGCCTTAAGGCTTACCGAAAAGCAACCTTACGTCTTTAATTGATTGTGTCTAAATTAGCGGCAGAAAGCTAGGTGGAAACAGTTTTAACATCTATCGGACTATTTTCCGAAAAGAACCCCACACAAAATTTTTAACTGTTTTGAGCTGAAAAACATATTTTTACATCCGACCCACGCTAATTTTTCAGATGCGAGCCGACAAGTTTGTAAATCATATTGTCCGTTAGTCGCGCTTCAGCCCTTAAACGCATTTCATGTCGAAATGGAATTAAAGATGGATTATCAAAGTTTATGCAACATAAAGAAAGTCAGAACTTCATTACGGTGACGATGAAATCTTACTGGAGGCAAACTGAATTAACCTTGTTAGTTCAGTTCTACTCATTGCAAATTCAATAAAACATCTATCGCGTAAGGGGGCTGGTTCTCATCAAATTGCTTGCCAAGAGAGCCAACTATTGATATTTCTACTACCGCTTTCTCTATTTCAATTCAATTCTTGTATTATTATTCTTATAATAGGTTTTATCCAAACGTATAATTTAGAAGAGGTTTTATAGAGGGTGATTTACAATCCACAACTTCTAGAGAGTTAGTAAAAACTATAAAAAAATTGTACCAAAAGTTGTTGTGAAAAGCGGCGTTAGTGAAAATTTTGCATCACCCCGTATATTTTTAATGCGGCCACAGTATGGGAAAATGGTTGAATCTTTCACTTCAATCAAAACTGGGAAATACTGTAGGAAATTAATATGTATCAGCGCCCCACCAACGTGTTAGCAAAGGGGACACCATGGTAACGGAAAATATCAACAATAATAACAGCGGAAACAAAAGCGGTTACCATAGTAATGGGGGAATATCAACAAGACGCACTTTAGGCGCAAACAGGGCAAAAACACTCAAATTTTGGAAAACGTGTTAACCAAGCGTGAAAACCATTTAAACACGTTTATTTATGTTAAAGATTGCGATCGTTGGAAAACCGCACAAAGTAAGTAAAATATGCGATTATCTTGAATTAATTTTTCCCTCTAAAAGTGAACTTTTTCCGCCTTGGTTTTAAAAAATCCTCAACATGGGTGGCTCACGGTTGATGACACTTTAGGGGGATCCGAAGAATGGTACATTATTGGATTATTCGCAAAAATTTGGCTACTTTTATGGTCATTCATGATCTAATGGTTTAGAATATTTGATTCATTTATTAAATGAGCCCCTTGTATAAAATGCTGGTTTTCCGTTTGCAAATATTTTCTGAATATTTTTCAGATAATATAATATAGGTAATACACGAAACGCGTGCCAGATCAATATTTAATTTTTATCAATATCCATAGATTTTAATGGAACACCTTGTATATTATTGCAGATTTTAATTCTACTACGTTCAACCGATTCTCAGCTAGAATCATTTGAATCGACTTTCTACAAATTCATTCAAAAGATTAGATAAAAAACTAATTTGATTTAAATTTACTGGTGTTTCGCGTAGTTGATTTCATCATACTTAGAATCGAACTAAAAATAAATTTAATTTCTATAACAGATTGAAGTAGTTGTCTCCAATTTTCTTGAATATATGTTTTTAAACTAGTTTTTGTGTCTCTACTTGAGCAAAAATGATTGATTTAGATTTCCATTTCCGCGGTTAGTATTTCCTGGAACCAAGGGTTAGTTTTTAGGATTTAATTCATCTTTTAAAAGCATAGAAAGGAAGAAAGTTATATGAAATAATTAAGTGGTTCGAAATTTGAAGGTACCAAAAAAGGTGAAGTATTAGCGAAACACTAACCACAGGAAAACAGGTTCCCAACGGAAGAATAGAGACACAAACGAAAATAATCTAGCGAATATACAGGGTGTTCCGTAAATATGTTAAAATATTTCAACAGCGTGTTCTCCTAGTCATTTTAGAGCGGGGTCCTCTTGAGATTTTTTTAAATTTGAGGTCTCATTTTTGAGATACTTCATCTCTAAAATGGCGAAAAATATTAGTTTCTGTTGTTTTTCTTTAAAACGGTTTAACATAGAATCTTCGATTTTGGTACACATTATAAGCTAATTGAGTGCCATTCTGTGGTAGTGATTTGTAGTTCAGTTTACTTTTAGACAGGGTAGAAATGTGGAACCCTTACTTTTGTTTTGTTCAGAACTTTTTGTGTGCACATAAACTTTTATCAACATAATTTTTGTAATTACCGCAAGTTATTTATCAACTTTTTTATCTCTTATTGTTTTTCCCTAAAACCACTAGTTTGCCCGCAAAAAAATTTACTCGTTTCGGCTTGATCAAAACGTTCCAAGCCGTTGGAGTGGGAGAGGTCAAGAAGCTCCTATAAACTCGCCTCCTAAATCTTCCGATCTAAACGTGATTGATTTTACTTCTGGGGCCATTTAAAAATACGGTATATTCAACAGAAGTGAATACAATCGAAGAACTTCAGGAAAGAATATTTAACATTTCTAACGAAATTAGAACTTCAGTGCTAACTTTACGGTCTGTAAATTTAAATCTCATTAAAATACTGCGATTATGCCAAGATTGTCAAAGTGACCAATTTTAGTTGTTAAAAACGCTAAGTTAACATTAGAATGGTTATTTAAATTTAATTTTGTTTGTTTATATCGTTGCGCATATTGTCACCATGTTATTATTTAAGTAAAATTTATTCACACTTAATATTTGTTATCTGAACCAAAATACACAATTTAGAAAAATTAGGTTGTTAGTAATCAACCAAGAATGTGTACCAAAATTATTATATGAAAACGTTATTAGATTTTAAAAAATT